AAAGATGGGCACTATATTTGCTCTTTTCCAATCCTCCAGGACTTCACCCAACCTCCATGAGTTCTCAGAAGGGTTAGCTGATGGATCTGATTTTACCTTCAGTGATTGTTTCAGTACTTCAGGGTTATTCCCATCTGATTCTGCTAACTTGAAAGTAGTTAGTTTCTCGAAGTAATCCCTGACCTGTTCTGCCATTACTTGAGGATGTTTGCCTTCTCTCCTACCTTTGTTGCCAACTGAACTCATCTGGTAGCTGCCTCTTTTTGTGATGACTAAAGTAAAAAAAAAGCATTAAATTATTTCACCCTTTTCTTCATCTGTAGCTAGATTGTCTTCTGTATTCTGTAATGGACATATGGTGTCTTTGGTGCTCCAAAGGAAAAGATAAAGGATGTAAAGCTTTCTCTATCCCTCTTGTCGAAGATGGATCACTGGGCAGATATGATTGCAAGAGTCATAAGGCCAGAAGGAAAAGAAACAAACAAAACAAAACAAACAACCCCTAGCTCTAGGAGGGTTCTGGACTACTGCTGCCAGGCTTATTTCTGTTCTTTATCCAATTACAATGTAATGGTCAAATTTACAAACCGTGCTTAAGAAGCATAGGTTGAAATCTAGGGCTCCTCTCTTCCAGAGGAATGTCCTGGCCCAGGGGTGGGCAATTATTTAGGCTGTAGAGCCACCTAGGGAGTTTTGGTGAGCTGTCATGGGCTGGGTCAGCATCTCCCTCCCCCTCCTCTGCACTGGACTAGGTCAGCACACCACTTGCCCACCCACCAGCCCACAGCAGCTCACCAAAATTCCTTGAATGGCTCTGGGTGCTGTCACCACCCAGCAATCCCAACCCAGCCTTAGGATCTTCATGGAGACCATGATGGGACCTGTCTGGGCAGGGTGTGCTCAGCCAGGTGGATGGGATTAGACAGGGCAGTGGGCAGGCAGAGAGCAGTGTCTGGGAGCAGGACAGGCAGGCTGGGCCTGGCGCCAGAGCTGCAGGGTGGTGACAGTCTAGAGCTGGGGCCCAGGAACGAGCCACAATCCACTCCCAGCATGCTCCTGCCCATGGAACGGGCACCTGTTGCAGGGACATGCGGTGAGCGGATTGTGGTTCTGCCCTGGGCCCTGACCTTGTGCTGTCACTGCCCTGCAGCCCTGGCCCCAGCCCTACCCATCTGATCTACTCCCAGATGCCACTCCCTGTCCACCCGCAGCCTCATCCTGTCCATCTGGCTGAGCGCGCCCTGCTTGCAGGGGTCCCTGGCCAGTCTCCATAGAGACCCTGCCAGTGCCCTTCATCTGGTGGGTGTGGGGAGGATGAGCCAGGGTGCCTGGGCACTGGGGCCCAGTCTGGTGGTGGCAGCAACACTAGCAGCAGCAGCCAGAAGGAGCCACGTCCACCAAAGCTGCCAGGAAGTGGAGTCTAGCCCCTGCACCAGCCCCATTGTGCACCCTAGGACAGCAGGACCAGCTGCATGCGCCATAGTCTGAGCTGCCCCCCATGCCTGGGCTGGGGGGTGGCAAGGGACCCACTGTGGGATGGATAAAATTACTTGGCAGGCCTGATTTGGCCTGAAGACCATATTTTGCCTATTCCTGTCCTAACTGCTAAGCTACAGAAGTAAGGTCTTGTTTGCTTCCTTTCAATCTTACTACATAACTTGCATCCTTGTCTATCCCATGAAGGGTGTCCTTCCTTATTCTGCCCTGTAGCCTGGTGGATCCTCTCAAAAGTCCTCCCCAGGGAAAAGGGTGCCTAGTACCCAGGTCTCCTATGTACTAGGCAAATATTCTAACTACTTGATTATTGGGCAAAATGTGAGCATCAGCACCACACACTGAATTGTCTGACTTCAGAAACCCTGTGTGCATCTGTCCTAGAAGTGCAATTAGGTGTTGTGATTTGCAGGTAAACAGAGAAATATAGTGGATAGATACAGAAGGCCAAGAGTTCAGAGATGCCCATGTGCTTTAGCATTTCCTGTTGAGATGTTACCTCTAAATATCTAATCCATCTTTGGAGGTGCTTACTGTTGTCCTTTCTACACACAAACACTTGAGGCGCCTAAACCTAATCACTCTTGGATATCTCCAGAGGCTCTTCATTAACTGTGCAGGGATGCATGACATCTAACTGGGATATTTTGAATCTCCTTCTTGGTGCAGCTGCTAAAAAGATAGTTAAGTGAGCACCTAAGTTTAAAGGTATAATAAGAGTATTTGAAATCAGACTTGAATGATTTCCACCTAATACTTAGGTTTCAGCTTTGTTAAGGGCAGATTGTGTATAAATCCTCCTCCTGCTTTCTTCCACCCCCATGTGAGAGGCCAGAATGTCATAGGATATCAGTATGATCCCTAGGAAGTTGAATCACATGATTTGTTTAAGCTCAAGTTTCTTATGAGGAAGGTTTTATTCCTAGTGACAGTGGCTTTGGCTCATTTAATAAATGACCTTCAAAAATCCATTATCTATTTAATATTCACAGAAGAGAAAGGAACTGAGGTAGGTGTACAAGTGTGTGTGTGTGTGTATAAATACAAGCCAGCTCTTCTTTTGGGGGTGTCATACTTCTACCATAATCAATTTATTTTCAGGTCTCTTGTCTATGTCAGGAAATCCTAGCTATATAACATACATCTTAAATGCTCCCTTGGGTTTTATCTGGAACAGATGAAAACTCTTGGAAAGTCCAACTGATTTTTTGTTTCTTTTGACATTTACATATTAGGTCAGACTATATCTAAGAGAAGAACTCTGTCTAAATGGTTGTCCTTTTGAATTTTTCTTTGTTTTCCTCTGCCAGAGCTGTCACTCAAAGGCCAATGAAAGCCCAATTTATTAGAGGCATATTTGCAATGGTAATCCACTCAGGTTTGTTCTGCTGAGACCTACAGAACAGTTACAATGCTATGTGGAGATGGGTTTATTCATTTACTGACCATTATTGCCTAGAGCAGTGCTAGGCCATGGATTGGAGAGGAACATTGCTTTTAGATTAATGATTCATATCCATATATGTCATGACTGTACATTACAAAAGTAAACACATTTATGGCTTTCCTTTTCTTTCATTGCCTATTTCACTACCTGTCTCCTGCCACATCTCTGTTTCTCTAGTCATCCGCTGAAGAAAGGAACTTTGATCTCCTTGCATACGTTTTAGTTTCTTCTGAGTCCAGATGTGCCCCAGAACCTTTTGTAGTGGCTCCTATGGTACTCCTGAAAGAAAAAGCTAGCAATTGAAGCAGGATTTGTTTGGATTTATCTTATACAGAAAGTACTAAGAATTTAATAAGGAGAAAAGCAGTGTGTTTCTAGAGAAATAGGGCTCATTGGAAATTTCTTCAGAAACCTTTCATATTTAATTGAGGGTGGTATTTCTCCATAGTTTATTTTTAAAATAGTTGTATAAAATTCTCTAGCAGGGATATTATTCCTTACTAAATTCTTTGGTGTTCTTCCAAGCAGTAACTCCAAACAAAATTGATGGGCTCATATTTTATTCTATTAGGTACTTAATTGGACTTAGGTGTCTGTATGTGATTCTATTTCAACCTGCTTATGTTGCAGAAAAAACATCAACACTTCTACTTTTTAATGTGCCATCACCTTAGTCTTAAGACATTCTTAAAGAAAATTTGCTCTCTGAAAATCCATTAAGGCACCTGAAATTGGGCATCCAAAATCCCTTAATTGACTTTGAAATTTAGTGTGTGTTATTCAAAACATTTGAGTTAATCTGGAAATTACCCCTGCTATGGACAAACCTAGGGGAAAAAATGTTTGTTTGATATTTTGGGAGAAGAGGCTGGCCACAACACCCACATTCATGGGCAACCTGAGATATTCAGAAAGTTTTCAAATTTAAGCTATAAACAGTGTGTTGTCATCATGTACACCTGTCCTTTAATTGCTTAATGTAAATCCAGTAGTGCAAGAATTTCAGAGAAAATAATTTTTATTAGAAAGCAAAATAGTATCCAGGTGACATGTACCTATAAAACAATACATTCATCACTGCAATTGGATTTTCACCTCAAAGAAGGAAAAACCAGGCTGCTATGAAACAGGATACAACATATGGATAATTATTTATGTATTTATTTTTGGAATAACAGTATTTTTCATAACTTTGAAAAAACTGTGATCACTTTTACAGCATTTAATTCTCTGCATTTGGTTTTGAAAGGTTGAAAGGGCTTATTTGCTGGTTAATTTCCTTGTGTTTCAATATTAACATATATTATGGGTTAAGAGGGTTCAGAGAAGGGCCACTCGTATGGTTAAGGGCCTACAGACCAAGCCCTATGAGGAGAGACTAGAGAAGCTGGATCTATTCAGCCTCCGCAAGAGAAGGTTGAGAGGTGACCTTGTGGCTGCCTATAAGTTCATCACGGGGGCACAGAAGGGAATTGGTGAGTATTTATTCACCAAGGCCCCCCCGGGGGTTACAAGAAATAATGGCCACAAGCTAGCAGAGAGCAGATTTAGATTGGACATTAGGAAGAACTTCTTCACAGTTCGAGTGGCTAAGGTCTGGAACGGGCTCCCAAAGGAGCTGATGCTCTCCCCTACCCTGGGGGTCTTCAAGAGGAGGTTAGATGAGTATCTAGCTGGGGTCATCTACCAGCCCTCTTTCCTGCTTATGCAGGGGGTCGGACTCAATGATCTATTGAGGTCCCTTCCGAACCTAACATCTATGAATCTATGAATCTATGAATTAGTGGTGAAAACATTAATTTTTTTATGTTTTTTTAGAGCCTGTGAAGCTAGAAGAGAAAATTCTCTATGGTGAATTGATGAAACTTCTAGATGAAGAAAATAAAAGACTGGAAGCACCTGGTAAGTAACAAGACCCCTCACTTAAAGAAAGAGTATACAATTATTTCAGAAATGTTTTCTTGGTTTAACATTATGAGGCTCTGTCTGAACCCCTTGAAGTTAAAGGCAAAATTAATGTTGAATTTAATGTAAGCAAATACGATCACGCCCAAAATGTTTTGTTATTTATGAATGCAGGCCAAAGAAAGACTTAAGTAGTCCATAGTAGTGGTCAGCAAACCTTACAAGGCCCAGGCTTGGCTCTGATCCAATGTGAGCCAGGGGGCTTTGGCAGCATGTCAGCAGCAGGGGACTTCACTGCAGTTGTGGGGTAAGGGTGGTGGGTAGATGTGGTGGTGACACCAAGTCCTGGTGCAGGCATAGATACAGGTAAAACCCTCCAGCACCACAGGGTGGATCCAGAGACTCAGGGTGGGTCCAGAGACTCCAGATCTGGCCCCTGGGTCCTATGTTACTGACTTCTGCTCTATAGTCTTTGGGTTGCCTCTTTGCAGAGGAATAAATTTCACCTAAAAATATTGGGACCAGAGTTAGGCATGAATCTCTGTGTAAAGGTGACTTTATTCCTATGGGTGCTGACCACCTACCACAGCTATTTTGAGGGAGAAGATATTTAAAGTGTCTAGAAAAGGTTCAGTTTTGTAACAGCAGTATCCAGATTAGACAGTTCCAGCCACAATCTTGTTAGAAATTGTGACTGCAGGGAAGGGGCATTCAAAATTTAGTTGTAGTTCTCTTCTTGTCAAAGGATGCAAGAGGAAGGCTCCTCAATTCCAAACTCTCAGCTTTACTTTGTTTTTGTTTTTGTTTTTGTTTTTGCTTTTATGATATTTATTTAACATCCTATAAATACATGGAACCAATAGCATCACACCTATTACATGCTGTGTCTCTCTATCTTATTTGGATAAGGGGGAACATGGATGATTTGCAAGTTAATGCCTTTTTTTCCTCTTCGTACTAATTTTTATTTATTTATTTATTTTTGCAGGCATGCATGTGTGTTTTCTACTCTTCTCTAAAGGGTTTCTGTATTGTTTCACAGTTACATCTACTCTATTGGAGAGACAGAACAGGTGTTTGCCTAGGGCATCCAAGCTTTACCACAGCAACGTATTTTATGACTATTTAGTTTGTGAGTAACTTTGTTCTATAAGAGGCAGTCATTTTTCAGTTTCCCTAGGGTAGCAAAACCCCTTGAACTGGCAGTGGTCATATCAGTAATCTCTATCCTGCCCCATTGTAAATGCAAGGAAAAGAAACTACAACTACCATAGCTAAATAAATGCAGATAGTGTAAGCAAAAACCTTTAATAGATTTTTAGCAAACCCAATATTACTACATGTTAATGTGGAGTTCCACATTACTGAATAAGATCAAAGTAGGCTGTGAGTTGATTGTTGCTTTTATCGTGTAATGACATAGGGTAAAATGAAAACACGTTTTGCAGTGGTAAATCCAGCATTATTTCTGTTGCAAATATTGGTTTGTGGTGTAGTTCTGCAGAACATAGCTGGGCCCCTTTACAAAAGTATGTGAGTGCCTCACAATCTTTAATCTATTTATCTTCACAACGCCCCTCTGAGGGTGGTAAGTTTTCTTATTCCACATGAAACAGGTATAGAGAGGCTAAGTGACTTGCCCAGCATTACTAAGAAAGTCTGTAGCAAACCAAACAATTGAATGGAGGTACTGTGGGTACTTTAACCACAGGATCATCCTTCTGCCTTCCTGCTTCAGTACACTGCCATATACTTTTGCTGTACAGTGTTAATGAGCATCACCATAACAAAGCATGGAAAACGTTAGGAATAGGAATGCCTACTTCTTTCTTAGCAAATAGTTTGTTCACCAAAAAAAAAAATGCAGTTTCAGTCAAGTCAAAATGGTTTAAGTCACATTTTATAAATATTTTGGTGGAAAACATTTTCTTTCCAGATCAGATACATGAAACTAAAGTTGGGGAAGTGGGGAGAGTCCCCCTTTTGTGCTGTTGCCCTCAGGTTGGCAGTCTACAGATCACAGGTCAAATCTGGCCTGCAGAAACATTGGACCTGGCCAGTCAGTATGGGGCTTTGGCAGCATTTGGCAGCAGGCTTTGGTTTAAGGTGCTCCCCTTGTGCCACCATAGGAACAGGCAGCAATGGCAGCCAGGTCCTATCACCTGCCTGTCCTCCTACCTTTGACTCAAGGTGGCTCATTCTGGCCTCAAGCTGGAAAAGGTTGCATATTCTTGCTTTAATTCAATGATTAGGATTTCCCCTTGGTACATGGGAATAGTCTATCTTGTTGGAACTGCTTCATTTTGTATAAAATACTTAAATATTTACTGGAGCAGGGACTGGTGAGTGCCCAAATCACTAGGCCTAAGAGTCTCTCTTTCTCTCCCCATCCCCCTTCTCCTACCCTGTGCTCCCTTATCCCTCTCCTCTTGAGTTAACAGTAAATACTCTTATCCTAAACTTCATCTTAACATCAGTTTTAGTCTTGGGATTTATTTGGTTTTAGAAAAATACTGAAAATATCTTTCCTGAACAGCAAGCATAGTTTACTCATCATTTCTCAGTAATTCACTCTATATTCAAAAAAGAAAGAAAGAAAGAAAAAGAACAGAAGAAAAGAATGGCTCTAAGCGTGATGTGAGCATGCTGGGTTTTCTTTCTTTCTTTTTCTTTAAAGCAGGGTGTCAAAGAAGCAGTACTCAGGCCCAATCCAGCCCATGGGTTTCAGATCAATTTTGCATGCTGTGTGGGACCTGGCCCCTGACCCTAGCCCCAGGTGCTCCATGTGTTGCATAGAGCTGATCTGGTGTATGCTGCATGCGGGGTGTGGGGCTGGACCAGAAAACATGAATGTTGCAAGCAGCAGAAGGACCAGTTTGGGTTGTGTGGTGCATATGGTGCCCGCACTAGACTGGTCCAGTCCGCTGGCTTTGATGTGTGGGGCCAGTCTCTGGGCCTGATCTAGCCTGCAAACAAGCCCCACAACCCTCATCTACCCTCCTGGGCCAGATGAATTTGACACCCCTACTTAAAAGCACCATAGGAAGGTTGAATCCTAGCTTTATACAACCTTACAGGTAGAGCCCTGAGTTCTGACTGAAGCCTATGGGATGTTGATTTCTCCTCCATCCTGTCAGGCAAATGGATACCTATGGGAGATGATGAGAGGAAAATCAAAGAGTTTTTAATGCCCACATAAAAGGGTCTAATTTGAGCTGTGTAACCCAGTTGATTTTCTGTCTCTAATGCCCCATCTACATGTTACACCCAAGATGTGATTAACCATTTAATCATGTCTTAAGTTGTGACCCAGCCACACATTCAGTCAATTAATAGTGTCAACAAGTAAACAAGGAATAAGCCACAAAGTTATTCCACAAAAATTCTGTAATAATTTTGTGGCTCATTCTTATCACACCATTATACGCACAGAATGTGACAGAAGCAACAATTTTCACCTGATCTAGTCACAGAAAGTGGTCTATAGCTGTGACCAAACACAAATGCATAGCTGCAAACAGCTTAAAATCCAGCAAAAATCTGAACCTTCATTGCATGAGAGTTCAGATGAAGACGTTTCAAAACACAGCATCTTCTATAACTTCTGTCTGCGCTGCCTGACAGCATGTCACTGTTTTCAGAATGGGAAGACAGAAAGGGAACAGAGGGAATTTGGTTTGAGGTTTTTTCATTACCCATCAGAGTGTGGGTTAGGTGTGTTGGAGCCCCTCCCCAGGTGGGAGGGCTCCAATTCAGTTACCCCACACTCCAGCGCTAGTTGGGGAACCCCTAGAAACAGTTCTTTCTGCTCCCTTTCCCCTCCCAATTCTGAAAACAGCACAGACTAGGATGTAGGAGGCCATTGCTAGGGGAAACCAGCTGCAGACTCACAGCCAGCAGTTACTTTTCCCTCCCCCCTGGACCCAACAGTGAACTTCTGTTTGGTCCAGGGTACTGTTATAAGTCAGAATGCTTCCTACAAAACATTCTTAGTTATAGCGGGGTGTCTAGGTGCTCCCTTGTGGATGGGAGCCCCACCAGCTGATGGGGCTCCAAACCACAGGGGTGAACCATGTGTGGCCATGGCTGCAGAACTTGCATCTATGGCAAAATGTGGGGCCCTGCCACAGCTGTGAGCCTCATCAGCTATGAGATTCACAGCTGCAGCAGTACATTGGGTGCTGACATGGCTGCAAGCCTTATTGCCTGTGGGAATTTCAGCCATGGGAGCTTGCTATTTGCTGGTGCAGGGGGAGTCCAGGATTGCAATCCTCCCTCCTCTTTTCCCCTCCTGTACCGGCAATAAGGCATGATTGGATCTGATGCTGGATCCCACAGTTGCACTTTTTGCCATGCATGTGTGGCATGGCAGGAGGCATGATTATGTTGATTGTGCATCAGAGCCTATCATGCCCTTACCTGAACATTTAGAGGAGCCCTAGCTGGTAGAACTGCTTTTCTGTCCTGCTGAGCTGTACTTTTGAAGTGACTTCAGGTGCTTTTCGTCAAATATTCTCTTAGTCTTAATCTTAATTTAGCTGGATATTTCTAATAGTTCTCTCAAGTGGCCTTTTAAAAATTGTTCTTACCCTCTTCTTACTCTTTTCCAGAGCATACTCTATAGATAAGCCCAATGTGGTCCACCAAAAAGAAGATATTAGACATTAGTTTCAGTGCAAGGAAGTAATAAAACTAACCAGAAAAACAAAAAGATACCACAGTGCATTCATGGAGTAGGTACTTTCACAGAGTATGTGCTTTCATTCTCATTGTGACATTCAAGGGCAACCCAATTGAGCTCACAGAATTTTAAATTAGAATATATAACTGTAGGCAAGATTTTTCAGCTGGTAAAAACTGGCTTAATTGCAATGAGTTCAATGTAATCCCACTGATTTACACCAGCTAAAGTTTTGGCCACTGTACATAGCGTGGGCAGAGTAAAGAAAATAAACAATATTGCATCTGTTGGCAATGTTTTCTTTTTTTGGCATTGCCTTTATTTTTATTCTTCTAGACAAAGCCCAATGCTTTAGTAAATTTAAATCTAAATATCGTTTTGTTTTTGCATTTAATAGTTGTAGGTCAAATCACTTTTCATTAGGCTTGTAAGATGCTATGTGAAGAGATTCCATGTACCCTTAGGTAACAGTTTCAGTTGTTTATATCTACTGTACACTTCCCCCAACATGATTTTAAATTTGTATCCTCTTGTAATTAAATATAAAAAACCCCCTGCATCCTGTGTGTTGGTGGCATAGAGGTGATTTAATCACTCAGAGACTCAACAATTAAAGTTGTTCAAAGATGAGTAGTTAGCAAAACTGAAAATGTTAAGAGCCTTAGTTTTATCTTTCCTTTTCTGGTCTTCATTAGAGAATGGAAGACTTCAAAGGGGAGTAAGAAAAAATCTTGTAAGTGCTTTCATGTTCTGGGATGGATGGAGAGACAGACAGATAACTAGATATGGCATTTTCTTGCAAAGAAAGAGAAACTGAGAAATAAAAACCTCCAAACATTATTCTGCAGAGGAATGAGGTGACCATGATAAAGTGAGATGCAGAGAACCTGGTTGCTGTCACTTCTTAGTGATCCTAACATGAGGAAATGAGCAAAATACTTGTCTGTCTTGTGTCCCAAAACTGGCATTAGTACTCCATGAAATATCAATGAGATGATATTTTAATGAGCACCATATCAAGTTACATTGCAAACATTTAAATCGTATCTTCTTTGTAGCAGGCTTGGTGAATGGGAGACATTTTTGTTTATGGTGCGCAGTGCTCAGTGCATAAATCCAGTGAGCCAAGTATTGTATTTTATACAATGCATTGTGTGGTAAGCTTACCAAGTGCCTGGGTGGATACTAGGGGTGTGTGAAACGGGCTGTATTTGATTTGGATTCGGATTCAGCCCAAATCAGGGACAATGATTCAATTAATTGATTTGGACCGCTGTCTATGAGTTGATTCGGGCAAATCTGAATCTCAAGATTTGATGCTGATTTGGAGAATTAGAGATTTGCCCATAGACACAGCTTTAAATGTTTTTTTCTACATACCTCAAGGTACCAGGTGCGGCTCATGAATGCTGCGATGCTGGGGCAGATGGAGAATCCCACAGGAGTGTGGGGGCCCCCCCTGCATGCTCGGCAGCAAACCCAGAAATACTTCCAGTTCACTTCCAGTCCCCCTGTGCCCCTCTGGCTCAGTGATTGGCTGCAGGGGGACCCCGGGTACCCCCCCAGACCCAGGAGGCACCAGTCACCAAGCCAGGGAGGGCACAGGGGGGGCCCCGGCAGACCCAGAAGTGGACTGGAAGTGCTTTTGGCCCACTTCTGGGTCTGCTGCCGAGTGTGCTGGGGACCCCACTATGCTCCTGTGGGACGCTCCATCTGCCCCAGCATCGCAGCATTGATGAGCCGCCTGGTACCTTAAGGTATGTAGAAAAAACATTTAAATGTGTGTTTATGTCCAAATTACCTAATGTTTCTGAATTTCTCCAAATTGATTCAGAGGGGTCTGATTTGATTCAGAAAGATTAAAGGGTCTCCTGATTCGATTTGGATTCAGAGATTTGGTCACCAAATCGGGCCGAATCTCTGCCAAATCAAATCAGGGACCAAAGCTTTGTACAGTCCTAGTGAACACCCTCATGCACGCTGAGATGCTTCAGATGGGCTGCCTCCTTGATTGGGAAACAGCACAGCTGTGTTCATGCAGTGCTGAGGGTGGGTTAGTTATACGTAGTGCAGGTTAATTGGTACTATCACTGAGCAGTGCTAACTAGACAACTTCAAGGACCAGTCAGACCCACAAGCACTGTTTCCAGTTATGGGGTCAGCCCACCTGAAGCAGCTCAGCATCCAGGAGAGCATCCTTCCTAAACATGGTAAATATACCATGTAGACACAGTCTTGATCTCACCCATATAATCTTACTGAAGCCAGAGAAGTTTCTATGGTATAAATGAGAGAAGAATTGGATCCAATTTACTAAACTGGTATTGAGTGTTGTCTGTCTGTGGGTGAGGGGAGTAAAATGAAATGACTGGTATTAGTCTGAATCCTCTTAAGAATTCCTAAGAATAGTAGCTTTTCTTCTTCTTCCACAATGTGGTAAGTCAAAGCCACTCCTGATTGCAATGTTTTTTATATCACACTGGGGGTTAAATTAACTTAGCATATGTAAATTGGTTACTAAATATTTTAAAAACAAAATATTCAACTCTTCCTTCTAAACCTGTGTTACTATTTAGGTTAGGTTTCCTGATAAAGAAATTGGGTATCTGCATGTTGCCAAAAGTTTTGATGTTATAATATATTGTATTTTTTATGGTATCAATCGATGCCATAAAGCTGACCTGCCCAGCATGTTGGCTGAGAAGTACTAATCAATGAACCAAATGTCATTTGGCAAAGGATAACCTGCCACTTTTCTTTCAAGCAGCCCATGTCATCAGTGAAGATTTTTCAGACTCCATAATGCCTGTCAGCTTCACTAAAACACATGACTTTCGCAAGGAGGTTGAAGATGAAGTGATTCCTTCGTATATTGTACAGTTTGAGAAAGATGTTCAGGATGACATAATTATGCTTGGCAGCTTTTCACTGGAACAGGTCAGAGTTAGGAACTATAAGACAATTTCATCCTTTGGTGCATAACATGTTGTTGACTTGTCAGCCTTATACACCAGTGATAGCCAGTGATAAATATACTGAAAAGATAAAAGATTATTGTCTCTCATCACTGGAATTTTTTTAAACTAGGAGTAATAGTCATCCCCTTATTTCCATTTTAGTATGAGTAAAATGAGATCTTGATTGCTGCTTCTTTCCTGAATAATGAAGTGTCTGTAGCTACTCCATAGTTAAGCCTGAAAGTGAATTTGATTCATAAACCAATTCCTTTCCCCAGCAGCTTGAGAAAAGCATGGTATATTTGTTTAAAATGTGTAAGTTAGATTTGGGGACAAGGAAGATTTGAGCAAGAGATTAATTGGACAAAGGGGTTTTGAATTATAAAACTGAAGTGTTCATTGTTATCCAGAAAAATCCTCCTGGTTTTCTTTTGCTGTTTTGTAGCCAAATGAGAGAGACAATGAAAGAGAAATTGGGTTATGGATTCACATTGTCAAAGTGGAGGCTTCAAAAGCAAAATGGTAGTTGTTAGTCACTGAACACACCATTTTGCCTCTGAAAATCTCACCCCAAGTCTGGTGCATGGGAGCAAAGATTAATTGATTAATATATCATTTTTAATTAGTAACACGAGAATGGCTCATTGGCTCTGATGCGCTTAAAATAGGCTGCCAAATGACTAATGGTGACCTAAGCTTTTATTTTTAAAAAGTAAGTCTCTAGATCTTTTCATTGCAGAAATAGATCTCCACAATTAAATTTATTGGATTAATCAATTTGGTGAAGGAAATGCCTCACTGCTCTGCTGTCTGTCTCTAACTCCCTTGCTAACTCCCTTATCTCTTTTTCTGCTCATTCTTAAATTGCTTTTCCCCTATACAGTGAAACTTAGGTGGTGCATAGAAGGGGTAAACAGCAAAGATCAAAATCTGGGGCTGTGGAGCATTCAGAAAAGGGGACATGGATGATGTCTACTATGTAGGGGAATAATTGAATTGAGAGCAAGAGAGGACATGGCTACAGGGAGCCTGCTAGCAGAACAGGGAGTGTTGCTGCTTTCCTAGACCATTGGATGTCTCCACATTATGGAGACTTTATTAGATGTATTGGCATAACCCCTAACACCTCGCGTAACTCACAGGGAACCTCATTTCATCTTGAAAAGTCTAAATAGTTGGTTACCCCCCTAAAGACAATCCTGATTAGCAGTAAGTTCAAGAACCTGACAAATCTATTTAAGGGTATTTTTTTTTTTTTTTTGCCATTCAGGTTTCTAAGCTTTCTGAGGTGGATTGAGGGACATTCATAACCTTAAGTCTCACGGGAGCTCACACAACACTAGACATCTTCAAGATAGCCCTGAGGGAGTCTCTGAGAGCCTCTTAAGGCTTGCAGAGGTGCATATTGGGGTGATACATGACAAGACACCTATCTGTTGTTATCTTGTGTATAGACAACTATACTTTTAAGTGACAGCTTTGAAGAAAGTGGAGCTGTAGGAGACCAAGTTCTGTTTTGCAGGGACAGTTAGAAGTGGTTGATGAACAAACAGGATTTCTTTTAACCACTGTGGGCACATCCACACATGCAACCACATGCATTTGCAGCAGCTCAAATAGAAGTGATGCAAATTTGAGCTGGGGCTTTTTGCTTCAGCGCACGTGCTCAGATATGCACTTTTTTGTGGAGCAAATTGTGCCACTTGTGGCAAAATAATAACCCTGCCTGGCTCCTCCTGGATCTGTAGCCAGGGGTAGCTAGAGCCTGGGCCCAGCACCTGTGCTGTCCCCAGCAGTACAAAAAGCTGCCCTGGCAAGCAGCTCAGGGCTACTTGCCCTCAGGAGCTCCTGGGGGTGGCTGGGGCACCCCAGTGGCAGAGTCTGTATTCCACCTTTATCCCATGAGCCACTAGGGACCTCAGCTGGCAGCTCCTCCATAGAGCTGTCACCATGGGCATGTATGTGGTCAGCTTCACGGACACCCCGGTCTCCTTCCTCTTTTGTGGGCAGAGGGAGACCCTGGCCCACATGACCCTTGAGTGCGCCAGGCTGCAGCCCCTCCACCTCCACCTCCAGAGCCTCCTCTTGAGGTTCTGGTTGAATTTCACCCCTCACCTTTTTGTTTTTGGTCACCCCACCTGTGGCTCCAACAAGTCCCAGGACCTCCTGATCAACCTTCTTCTGCCTCTGGCCAAGCCTGCAGACCTCTCGATCCCAGTGGTCCAAAGGGATGAGCTACTTGCATTTCTTGACTGTGACTACACTCGCTGGTCCGCCAGCAAGGTACAGCTAGCCTTGGACCACTGGGGAGATTTTGATAGCATCCTTGCCACTGCAAAGGCACTGGTGGGGGAAGGCAAGCAGCCCAAAAACTGCAACGCCTGGATCTCTAGGTGGGCCCTCTGTTTCATAGATGCCCTCTATACATATGGGAGGATGCCATGTGAATTGGCGGGGCCCACACTGGGCATTGAGATATGCCCTGTTCCCTCCCCCCCCCCAGCCATGAGGTCATTTAAGATCATGACCCTCAATGTCTATGGCTGTAATAAGGGTCTCTGGAAGTGCCAGGTGCTCTCCTTCCTTCAGGAAGGATGGTACCCCATAGTATTCTTGCAGGAGACCCTGATGACTCCAGCCAATGAACCAAATTGGCACTGAAGTTGGGAGGCAGGGTCTTTTTTAGGCATGTCTCAGCCACCTCATGCGGGGAGGCCACCCTGTTCTCCCCAGGCCTTCAGCCGGAGGTTCTTCAGGATGTTGAGGTGCTGCTGGGCTGCCTGCTGCACCTCCAGGTCCAGGTGCAGGGGCTGGTCCTGAACCTTCTGAATGTGTACGCCCCTGTGAGGGACCGGGAGTTGGCGGACATGCTTCGGCACTCTCAACCCTCACACTGCAGGCCTGGGGAGGTCCTTGGTGGGGACTTTAGTGTCACCCTAGATGCACAAGACTGGTCAGGCAGGGAGCAGAAACAGACCGCCATGGGCGTCCTCAGGGAGATCCTGATGGACTACTCCCTGGTGGACGTCTGGCATGCCTGTCACCCTACCAACCCCCCTGCGTTCACCTATGTGAGGGTGGGAGAGGAGCAGGCATGCCACTCCTGGTTGGACTGGGTTTATATCTCTTTGCCACACTTTGCCCAGGCCCACTCCTCTGGCATCCAGCCAACCCCTTTCAGTGGTCACAACCTTGTCTGGGCCCAGGCCACACTAGGGCCTGGGTGTCCAGGGTTGGCCTACTGGCATTTCAGTGCCAGTCTGCTGGAGGATGTGGGCTTCCAGGAGTTCTGGCTGGCCTGGTGGGAGCAACGGGCAGCTTTCCCCTTGCCTAGGAGATGGTGGGATGTGGGGAAGGGGCACATTCGGCTTTTTTGCTGCAGCTACACTTGGGGGCATACCTGGCAGAGGGAGATGGTCCAGGAGCAGCTCAAGAAGGAAGTGCTAGAGCTGGAGAGGCACCTGGCCACCGACCCAACCAACCCGTCCCTCTGCAGAGAGTGTTGGGAGAGGCGGGAAGAGCTTCGTGCTCTGGTGTCCAGCTCCTTCGGGAGATGGAAAGCAGCTCCTGCTTCTTCTATGCCCTGGAGAGGAGGCAGGGGGCCAAGAAGTACATCATCTGCCTTCTGGCAGGTGATGGCACTCCCCTCCTGGATCCAGGTGAGATGCGCCAGTGCACGCGGGCTTTCTATGAAGAGCTCTTCTCCCTGAATCTGACCAATGCCAAAGCCTGTCAGACCCTGTGGGAGGGACTCCCGCAGGTCAGTGTGTGTGACTGGGACCAGCTGGAAGTTCCTCTCACTCTGGCTGAGTTTTCATCTGCCCTCCATCTGATGCCTGACAACAAGGTGCCAGGCATTGATGGGCTGACCATGGAGTTCTGCCAGGTCTTCTGGGATGTCCTCAGCCCAGACCTTGCCGCAGTCCGAGCCGAATCTGAGAGAAGTGGGGAACTCCCCCTGTCATGCCAGAGGGCCATGCTAACCCTTCTGCCAAAGAAGGGGGATCCCCATGACCTAAGAAATTGGCATGTCCCTCCTCTGCATGGACTACAAAGTGGTAGTGAAGGCCATCTCACTGGGCCTGCAGTCAGTGCTGATGGATGTGATCCATCCTGACCAGATGTACATGGTGCCTGGATGTTCCATCTTTGACAACCTGTACCTGGTTTGGGACCTCCTGGAGCTATCATGCTGGGAGGGCCTGTCTTTTGCCCTCCTGTCCATGGACCAGGAGAAGGCATTTGACAGAGTGGATCACAGGTATCTCACAGGCATGCTGCAGGCCTTTGGCTTTGGGCCCCACTTCGTGTGGGCTTTCCAGGTGCTGTACATCTCTGCAGAATGTTTGGTCAAGCTCAACTGGACTCTGATGGAGCCCATCCCATTCAGGAGAGGGGTGCGTCAAGGCTGCCTGCTGTTGGGCCAGCTGTATGCCTTGGCCCTGGAGCCCTTCCTCATTCTCCAGTGGAAGTGGGTGGTGGGGTGGGTTCTCCAGGAGCTGGCAGTGCAGCTGGTCCTGTTAGCGTATGCTCCTCATGGTCCAGGACTCAGGTGACCTGGCACAGGTGGAGGCCTGCCAGGCATTGTACTCAGCAACCTGCTCGTCCTGGGTCAACTGGGTCAAGGGCTTTGGCCTGGCAGTGGGTGATGGGTGGCAGGTGGGCTCACTCCCACCTGTGCTCCACAGGATCTGCTGGAGTATGGGCTCACTGCTGTACTTGGGGGTCTACCTGTCCCCCACAGACCCCTCCCTGCCAGAGAACTGCTGGAGGCAAGGGTGGTGGAGCAGTTCCAGGCATGGGCAGTGCTCTTGAGATGTCTCTCCCTATGTGGGAGAGTGCTGGTGCTGAGCCAGCTAGTCCTGTCCATGCTCTGGCACTGCTTACACACCCTGCCTGTGCCCCCTGAGGTCCTGGTGGGACTCCAGAGATGGGCGCTGGAGTTTTTCTGGCCAGGAAGGCACTGGGTCACTGCAGAGG